GCTCACTTCTGTTTGACAAACTGGGACCGAAAAGAAAAGAAAAGAAAAGAAAAGAAATTTTAAAAAATTGAAAGAAAAGAAAAGACCTGCCAAAAGCGCAAACCCGGTCCCCGGTTCCCAGTGTTCTGTTTGATCGTTTCGTAGTCCACCGCCGTTGCTGGCGGAATAGGGCGAGTGTTCTCCCTTTCGAGTATGTTTTGGTTGAGTTCCCCGTTCTGGATTGTGATTGATGTCGTTATTCTTTGTCTGCCTGCGTTTGCCCGTGGATCGCCGCGACCTGGACGTGTCCTTCTCTGTGCTTCTTCCTTGTTGCTTGCATTTCGTCTATCGATTGCCGCGACCTGGATACGTTATTTTTTATTTTTTATTTTTTTGTGCGTTCGTCAGTCGTCTTTTCGCTGCTTTCAACAATCGGCATCATCGACGATTCGAACCAGTCGAAGCATGGGTGGTGCTGTTTGCCTTTGAACACTTGGAAAACGAGTTCCCCACGTTTCGTCGGTGACGTTTGCCTCTGGATACTTGGAAAAAGAGTTCCCCAAGTTCCGTCGTTTCCAACTGCCACCTTTGTTTCTGTAGCCTGGTCATCACGAGATGGGTTGACTACGCCCCATGCTCCGGACCTCTATTCCGTTGCGTCCCCTTCCCCTGCGGCCTTCATCGACGTTCGCCATCGCCCACTTCACTGGACTTCTTTCCGCCATCGTCACTTCCTGGCGTCGACTACATCATCATCGTCGAGATCCCGAGTTCTAGTGTTGTATGCATGTTTATGTGTTTTCTGTTAATGTGTTGTGTGTTTGTGTTTCATCATCGCCCGTCTGTGCGAGATATAGGGTGGCTAGTCGCATTAATTTTTGACTTTGATCATTTGTGCCTCGTCCAGCCATTGGTTTTACAGGGTTTGGACTCCACGTTTCTTTGTGCAGTTTGGTTGGGGTGGCAATTAAAGTCTCTCTTCCAATTTGGCCATGAATGTTCTTCAGTAATACCTTTTGTTGTCAGCGCATCCAGCCGTAGTGTGCCCGTCGTCCTGTCCCACTGAATTTTACGGGAGTAATTCTGGACTCTCTTGTGTCGCCACCCTCGATCCTCCAGTCGTAATACGCGCTTGCTCGCGGAAAAGAGTGGTTTGTGGCGTTGATATTGATTTATTTTGTTTTGTAAAACATGGTGCTTTGCAACACATCTTGCCTAGCTATATCCCTCTATGGGTATAACCTTATCATTGAGTCGCCACTAGCTGTGTTTCCGCGTCATCGGAATCACCTTTTGTCTCAATGGTGGTGTGGGACGTCGAGTCGGGATATTCCTACAGCTCCTCTTTCCTTTGGATACACTTGTGAGGAGTCATATCTTTCGATTCATGATCCTAATTATCAGCTATTAGTAGTCTTAGGATTTGAGTATAGAATCTGTATAGATGATCTTCAGGGTGGGCTAGTGTTAAGGAGTGTTGCTGTATGGCACAGATAGGGTACACAGTCGGTCTAGATTAAGATGGGGGACGTCAGGAGGTATACCCTCTTAGGACGTACCCCATCGGGACTTAGCTATCTGCGTGCCCCCAGGTTGAGGGCAGTCCGCCTCACCTCAGACCTGTAGCAGACCCGCTTCTGCAATAACAAGCAACCTTCCCATCTCAACGTGCTCGTGGACAATGTCTACGGCAGAATCTACATCTACTACATCTAGGAGGCAAGCTACCGTCGGGCGGGCATTCCTTAAAATTTTTCTGTTGCCCTCTCCTCCGTTTGCTGTTGCGTTCAGACTGGCTCTACGGATATCGCTGTCTCTGTGCGAGTTTGTTTATGTCCTCGTCTGCCTTTGGTTTATTTCGTTTTATTTTGTTTTGTTGTTTTATGGCACGTACTGTTCTCCCTTCTTTCCCTCGCTCCTCGACAAGCTTTTGCTTAGACATGGGTTGTAG